ATTTGTAGTACTACCCAGCTGTGTTTTTGATGATTGCAGATGCCGAGTTAGTGCCTTGGGTTTGGGGGAACCTCTTTCTTCTCCCTCGAATTCCCAGGAAATCTCTCTGGTCATCCTTTCTTTCAACGCCTTCATTAAGGAAGTGCCCCCTTGTGTCCTAAATGCTATCGCATCAGTATTTTAGTCTAAAACTACATTATTTCAAACCTGTGAGTGAACACTGACATCCTTGAAATCCTCAGTTACTGTGTTGGGGAATGCAGTGTTTTCTTGACAACTGTCTGCCAGCCAGAAACCTCTTTTGTTGAGTCTTTTAAAAATGTACTGGATGTTCAAATGTCTGCTTCTCTTATTCTGATCCCTTGGAGGCTCCAGGCGTGCTTGCCTGCCTGATCTTCATGCTTTGTTTTGAAGGGGCTCAAGTATGTGTTCATTTTGTTAAACTGAATGCTTTGACCCCCAGGGCCTTTCCCGGAGCTTGCTTTGCTTTGCTCTTATGGAATGTTATAAAAGTTTGTTTTGTTTTAATTTACCTCCTCCTCCTGAAAGGCAGGTCCCCCAAACAACAAAAGCAAAACACCTGCAGAAGGGCTGATGTGGGTTTCTGCTGAGGGTGTCAGCTGAGGTCACTGAGGTGGAAGTATCATCTGCATCCTCACTCACCAGCTGGTCGGGGGGGCTTCACCGGGTGCCCACTGGGGGCCTAAGGGGCTGTGGCAGAGAATGGAAAGCAGAGAGGAAGCTAAGGAGAAGTAACAGATTTTTTTTTTTCCTGTAAAATTGTCTGGCCTTCTCTCTCTCTTTTAAAAATTACGTAGCACTGCCAAATCATACGAGTTTATTGTCTTCTTGGGGTTAAGAATGGAGCCTGAAATTCCCTCTGCGGACCTGGAGCTGTCAGAGAGTGAGCCTGATGCGCAGATTAAGATAGCCTCTTGCTCAGGATGGCAGCTTCCAGAAGCCCCTGGGCGATTTATTTGCTGCATGGGTTTTGCTTTTCCTTGATGTTCTTCCCAGGAATCACCAAGAGGGTCCCCTTCAACATCTGCCCTTGGCCAGGACTCTCCCACTCTGCTCTTGGGCATGGGGGCCACATTTTTTTCATGCATTCTCAGTGTCTTAAAAATGACTTTGCTTTTTTTTACCCTTTCTTCTAAGGCCTCCTCATTTCCTTCCTTAAACCTGAAACAGCATCTCATGATGTTTAACCTGATGTACTCTATCTTATTACTTTCATGTGACCTTCATAGATAAACAGAAAAAGAACTTTTATACTGAGTTTATCTTATTATACTGAGACTGCTGTAGCGTTGACATAATCCTAAGGGGTCTTTCCTCGTCTGTCACGTCAAATTCAGCTCCTGTTGGAATGCTGACCTTCTCAAGAACCTTCAGTGGCTCCCCCTTTCCTTCGAATGGTAATACAAATATCTCCTGTTGCAGTCAAGTCCCTCTGCAAGATGGTTTCATCCTTCTTCACATTTTTAAATTTTTTGGACGACTTTTTAAAATTATTCAACCCAGCAAAACTGGGCTACTTGATGTTCTCTGGGCTTAACCTACATTTTCCCACTGCAATGCATTTGCTTCAGACTACCACCCCCCTTCCTGGTGAAGGGAAGCCCATCAGAAATGCCACTTCCTCCGAGAGTTCTTCCTAGTCTCCCCCTCACAAGATGTGATCTCTTCTGCTTTGAGCTTCCTCTCTTGTGGCATGAATCACATTCTTTGACATGTATTAAAACAAATCTGTGTATAGAATATTTTTACAAGAATACTGAAAAAACTGTTGCAATGCCTTTGGAGAGAAGAGCTAAGTGATGAGGGGACAGGAGAGGGGCTTACTTTTCACTGTATAACTTTCCTTTTGAATTTGTATACCATGTATATATATTTCCCATGAGTTTTTTTTTATTTAAAACAAACTATAAAACGTTATAAGAAAATATTAGAGTATGTTTATGTTGACAATCTCAGAGTAGAGAAAGTATCCTTTAAACAAAGTCAAAACCCAGAAGCCATAAAGAAAACAAGTTTTAAAAATATGTGTGCACCTGGCCGGGC